CATCCCTTTTCATACTGTATAAATCATACACATGCAGGCTCCAGGCTACTCTATAAATTCTCCAACTCCTCCCACCTAATTCTTACTCTTCTTGCTTTCCTAAACTGTTTTCTCCCTGCAGTATCCCCAGAGTACATACCCAGCTGAAGGGGATGGGATGGTACCCCTGGGAGAAGCTACAGGCCAAGGGCTTAGAGGATGTCAACTGGGGACAAGGAAGTTCATGAGGACACTGTGAACACAAAGACATGAGGTGAGACAAAGAGTCATCACTCACAAAACTGAAGAACTAAAGAATGATAGAGTCAGGAGGGTCCGGGGAGAACAGAGGACAGGCGCAGGGGGTAGGGAGGGCCAGGGGAATCGTTAGGTAGGAACTGGACAGTGCAGAGTGGCTAAGCTTTCCCCTCTCACTGTTCCTGGCCATACCTGAGTTCAGGCAGAAAAAATACTCACTGGGGCAAAGACAAAACCAGGTCGAAGGTCCAAAGGCAACTTCTCTTTTCTCTGAAATCAAAGGAAATTAAAGTTGAGTCTGAGGAGTCTATTTCCATAACTCAATCTCTGCACTCAGTAAATTGAGGACTCCTTTAATATTCTATTCTAATAATCACCAACTAAGGATTAACTATGTTCTCTGAGTTAAGCTGGCTGCATTTTTAATATTCTAAACAAAGAACTTTCTCTTAACAGCAAGGGAAAGACAAGAACTTGGCACATAGTATGGTGCTCTCCTTTGTCAGCAACTTCCACTTTCCAAAAAATCCCACTCAAGGACAACTGAATTTATGATTATACACTGGCTCATATTATGCGACAGTGATCTAGTTTTGGGCTCAGCAATGCCATAGATCAGGGGCCATAATGGGCCAGAGGGTAGGCGAAATGCTTCTAACTACTCAGCTCTATAGTGCAAAAGCAGTCATAGACAGCAGAGGCACAAATACACATGGCTGACACAAATGGGTGGCAGGTCAGATTTGGTTCATAGGTCCTCATCTGCCAACAACTGTCTTATTTTAACGACTTTATATGTTTAGTTTCCTGAGAGTTACCCCTACCAATGTATGATGGCATCTTTAGTTTTCAGGGGAGTAACAGTAACTGGGGACAGATGGGTAGGGGAATGAAGGAAAGAGAAGGAACTTCACCTTAAGGACCAGGTCTCTGGCCTCCATGAGAAGGCAGTGCCCAGCTTTTGTTCCAGTCTCCACCAATACCTATTCACAAAAGGGGAAAAGTAAGCAGAAGCCCTGAATTACATGAAAACTTAAATGTCAGAAGCTCTGTAAGAACATTCACAGATGGAGTAGGGCCTAAAAGTAAACGGGTACTATACATATCACAGGGATGGAGAGCATATCTCAAAGGATAAAGAGACTCAAAGGAGGAAACTGTTCTCAAATGAAGACAATGAGAGAAGAAAAGGCATGAAATCCGTGAAGCTGCTTTAAGACTTGAAATGTGGGGAAAAGGGATTTTAACTCACCAGGAAATTACTTGTCTTGCGCCACAAGGTTTGAACTACCTTGGCGCGGGCATCCTTGCTGGGCAATTCACTTAAGGAAAAGGCTGATACCACCACATCAAATTGTACCTGAGGACCAAGACAAGGAACATGACAGACCCAATGTCTTCCCATTCCAAGGGTACAACCAAGTCCTATGCTCAGTTTCTTCTATTCTCTTTTATTTTCTAATACTCAATGCTGGGTTGCAAAGCTGAGGCCACACTTCTCCATCTGCTACATCTCATATTAAAATACTCTCAACACTGCCACTTGCCTTGGGTGATACAGGTAGAAACTGTCTGAAAAAGACACCTGGAACATAAGGCTCCCCAGATTCTGAACCACCTGTGGAGGAAAGAGATGTGGCAGCTATGAGTGTATAGGAAGTTATCAGCCAAAGATATAAACTGAAGAGATAACCAGATAACAAACACAGCCCCAAGAATACAGAAAACACTAGGTAAGAGTGAAATGCAATAGGGTAAGCAAATATAAAAAAGGGCAGGGAGAATATTGGGTCTCCCAGCCTGTTAACCTTACTCAACCCATCCACTGTCTAGCAAAAGCCTTCAGTATCTTCTTCTTGACCAAAACGTTGGAAGCAGACAAGATTCATCTTAACATTACTTCTCTATTTCCCAATAAAACACCTTTTCCAGTATTGATTTGTTCAACTCCATCAACTTTGGAAATGGTCTCCTTTAATGTTTGTCCTCACCTTTCAGTAGCTTTTCCGCCAAACCCAACATGGCAGCTGAGCTGTCCACACACACATATTCACGAAGACTCTGGCCCCAAATACTGTGAGCAGCCCTAAGATGGCAAAATATAAATCACTAATTCTCATGACAGAACATCCTCTCCAGAGATCCACCAACTCCCAACCTCACCCCTGGGAAAACAGAATGTTATGTTAAAATAGAAAACTAACAATGTTATCTTCTTACTTCATTTACAACTTCTAAAAAAATGGCAGACTCAAAAAAATATTATGGGCAAAAAAATTTTGATTGATATGTAAAACTTATGCTCTATAAATCCTTTCCCTTTTAGCCTTTCTAAATATGGGCCTGTTTTAACTTGACATTTAAGTTCTGGTCCCAAGCCACACACTTTCTTCTGTCTTGCCTAATCAGAGGAAGAAATATTCTAGGCTTCCAATTTTCTTATTCTCTCTCTGGTTTCCCAGTCTCTAGATACTAGCGCTGTACAAGAATGACTCTCTAGAGCAGCGGTGCTCAACCTTCCTAATGCTGCAGGCCTTTAATATAGTTCCTGTGGGTCACGACCCATAGGATCAGAACCACTGCCCTATAGCTAGAACTGATAAAGACAAGGATGAAGAAAGCTACTCACCAGGTGACAGAACCAGAACCAGAGCCAAAGTCCATCAAGGTTTGTGGCTGGAACTCTGGAATTCGAGTCCGGATCTGAAGAAACACATGACACCCCACAGTAGGGTAATTAGATATTTATTTAGGGTTTTGGTAAATATGAATTAAAGGTGAGATGAGTATCTTTTGAGATTAAATATACTTTATAGACTAGGAAGCTCCCAAAACAGTGATTCTATCCCTTTCTTGGTCATAGAATCAGTTCACAGGATAAAGAGAACCTCTTAAAAAAAAAACACATATGCAATGTTCTAAGAATCTCTACCCTAGAAGACTACTTTTTGAATAAGGAAACTGAGGGCAAAAGGGATCTGAGGGACTTCA